GTGCAGAGTGAGGCCGAGCGGCCGGCCCGCGGCGCCGTTTCGGTCGGGGTCCGGGATCTTACCGACAAGACAAAGTTTTGGTCCATGTATTTTTTGGCCACGTTGGCTTGGAAGTCCGGAGACTCCAGGAAGCGAAGGAAGAACTCGTAAACCAGCTGAGGGAAGAAAGATCACAGCAGGCGTTGTACGTTTGCGCACGCCGCGTCGCGTCCGGTCCGCCGGCGAGAGCGACGACCTGCAGATGCGGCCAGGCGGCCTCCAGCGTGGGCTCGTCCTCCTCGGGGTCAAACTCCGCTCCCGCGGGGTTGGACGAGGGCGGAAGGGTCCGGAACAAGTTGACGGAAAACTGCCGGGGAGCAAAAGAAGCGTCAGCGGGCAAGCGGGCAAGGGATGACCCCCCCTCCACCCCCACTGGCCAATCTGCTCCTGGGAATTTGTTGTTTCCCGTACCGCCCCAATCCCGCGGCAATCCTGCGGGATTTTCCCACGGGAAACCACGTCAGCCTCTGGCGTTCGCCCCGAACAAGCAACCGCTGAGCAGAACGCTTGCCGGACGGGTTCCTCCCGCGCGCCCGCACTGACCATGCCGACGGCCTCGGGGTAGATGGCCTCGGTGAGCGCGTCCGTGTTGTGCGCGATGTAGTCCAGCATCTCGCGGAGGCCGGCTCGCTTGACTTCCTTAAACTTCAGGTCGCTGAGCGGGTCGCAGGCAAAGTCGAAAAGGACGCAGCACTGACGGAGCTTCTGCACGAAAAGCTCTTCGCGATCCGCCGCCGCCGCCGCGTCTGAGCGCAAAGACGGAAACGAGGGCGTGAGGCGGAGGTACGCGCGGCGCGGAGGCGGCGCAACGACGCCGGCGCCGCCCACCTTTGAGAGCCGGAAGTTTGCTGAGTTCCCTGTCGCCGCTGACGGCGAAGCGAGAGGAACTGTGACGTCGTTCCTTCTTGAGCGCTCGGGGACCTCCGCAATACTTGATCTTGTGCAGCTGCGTCGGCGGCGGCGCGCCGGCGGGCCGCTTGCCGCTACTCTAGACGCGCACACGCGAGAAAAGCGCAGCTTTCTTTGCCACTCGCCGACAGGCGCCCGCTGGCCGCCCCTCCCCGGGAAATGACACGAAAAGCCATTTTGAGGAAGCGTCCCGCACGTGGACGTGGCACGACTGTGCTTCATGTTCGCATTCCAAGAGCGGAAATGTCACGGCGTGGCTGTCGTTCACGGAGTTGCTCAATCAAATCAAACTGGCACTTTCCGCTGCATTTCACGTTTCGAGGCAGGGGTTGGACCCGAGGGCTCGGGGTTCAAATTAGGGCTGTTGTTTTTAAACTCGGGCGGGGGTTCCGGGTCGGCCTCGGGTTTAAGACTAAGAATTTCATTTTGACAAGGAAGCCGGGAACATGCGGCGAACGCTGCCCGTCACTCACCTCGTCGCCGTCGTCCTTGTCGGCACCCGCGCTCTTGCCGCCGCTTTTGCCGCTTTCCTGTTCAAGCGCGAAACAAACGGCAGCGTCAATTCACAAGGAGCCGAGCCGCTGGGAGGCTGGCCGCAAAACGCCAACGTCGGATGACCAAAGATTCGGCCCGGCTCTTTGCGTCGGATTCATTCATCGACGTCGTCAAGCTCTCAGGCCAGGAACCTCCCGCTTCGGGCGAGATCGGCGGCCACGGGCGGCACCCTCCCTCCCTCCGCATTCTTTCGGTGGGTGACGCCGCTCACGGTTTCCCGGTTGTTCGTTTCTGCTTTTGACCGTCTTTGCTTTGGTGTGTCCCTTTTTCTATGACTGCTATTTCACATTCAGTGTTCCGTAACGCGCTCCTTCGTTGCAGCTACGGCTGTTGTGAAAGCGCGACGTCACTGAAGAGGGATCGTATTGTATTGACTTCATTGGCAGCAATTGGCATGCAATCATGTAAGTATGTGAAATTGAACAAGGTTTTGGCATTTTGGATGTTTGACTCTTGCCTTCCGCATGTTCTCCCCGCGCCTGCCTGGGTTTCCTCCCGCATTCCAAAAGCATGCGTGGCAGGTGAACGGAACACTCCAAACTGTTCCTAGGCGCGAGCGCGGATGCGTGTGTGCCCTGCGACGGGCTGGCAACCGGTTCAGGGTGGACCCCGCCGACCGCCCCGAGACGGCTGGGATTGGCTCCATCCAGCGCGCCCTCGTGAGGATAAAGCGGATCGGGAAATGGATGGGTGGACTCCGTCTCAAGGACAGGGACAACCAAGGGACAGGCGGCCGGGCCAGATCATCGCTGCTGCCAAACACAAAATATTCAGCGCGGCGTTGAAGGGATGACAACGACAAGAGCGCATTTCAAACCAGATGAAGACCAAAGCTGGAGAAACTTGCCTTTGCAAACTTGCAAACGTAATCGATCGAACTGGGCGTGCTAACGTGTTGTCGTCACTCGGGAGCACAGGAAGAACATGCTCCGCGCTACCTTGACCTTCATTCGCATCATCTTCTTGAGATGGCTAAATTAGCTTAGCCTAGTCGGTGTTCACGTTGCTTTGCTAACCTCAAAAGGTCAAGGCGCCTCTTCAGCATCCAACTGGATTGACGTCGTCGCTGTAACGGCGAGTGTCAGGCGCGATGGTGCGCGAGTGACGTTGTCACGGCAACGGCGGTTCGCTTCGGAGTCGGACAGTGACGAGACGCTCTGACGTGATGCAAGCAAACCGACCGCGGCGAACGGCTGCTCCTCATCACACTTGTCGATTTGCCGCAGAGGCAACTATTGGTCGGCTCGATGTCAACAACTACTAACCGATTATTGTGACTCTTATTCTTGTTCTACGATCGCCTCTGGTGGCGGGCGGCTAAGGTTGCAGTTGCGGCCGTTAGCTCCGAGCTGGGCGAGTAGCTAGCTCGGGTCGGTCGCCTGTCCGTCCGAAGACACGGGCAAAAACTAGGCATCAAAACCCAGGGCGGAGAAAACAGGAAAGAGGCTCACCTCGTCTTTCTTGATTTTGTTGGGCATTCTGCTCGTTTTGCGGGCTCGTCGACGGGCGCCGTATCGACTTCGCTCGCTCGCGCTCCGCTCGGTGGCGCGGCGCTGCCCCGTCATTGGCCGTCAACGTCCACATCTGCCTAGCAACCCGCGGAGGACCTTTTGTGATTGGCCGCATCCGGGCAACGACGAGGCCTCCTCCCAGCAACACACCTTCCACCTGAAGATTGGCAGCAGCACAAACTCAGCCAACGAAACTGCGCGGCTATCTATGACGTCAGCACCGGATTCGGGACAACTCAACTGACGTCATAGCTCAAATGTCAAGTGAAAAAATGTCATCTTCTGTGCGGGAGATACAATGACGACAACATACTAAAAGAATGCATTTATTTTAAGCCCCCCCCCCCACCCCATGTCATAAAAAGTTGATGACATGCCCTACGGCTTAACTGTCAGTGGTTTTAAAAAAGACAGGAGAAAAAGTGTTTGTCTCAAAGTCCATTTTATTAAAATGTGGTGCACAAGACAAGCAGAGGGAAACAAATTCCGAATTGGATTTACTGGACAAAGTGTGCCAGCGCCAGTCCGTCGCTCGCCATTCTCCAAAGAGGAAGACCACCAGGAGGAATCTAGTCTAAGCAAATCTACTTGCAGCATGACAAAGGAACCCATCAAGTGCAATAGAAACAAAAAAAAAATTCAAGCGTACATTACCTCACTAATGTAAAACAATCCTTTTGCTTGTCATCTTGGAATGACTTTTTTTTTTTTTTTTTTTTTAAGGGGGTTATGTGGAGGAAACTGTGATTGGGGTCTCTGTAGGTACTGGGCCGATGGATCCCTGTGCAACAGAGAACAACATGTTATTCAAGTCTTTAGTGGAATCTCAGATCAAAAACAAAATGTTGAAGAACAAACCAAAATCTGGCATTGATACGTTGCTGAGTTGTATAACCTTCAAACGGGAGTCTTCCTCGCGTCTACTCCTACGCTAAATTCAAATCAGCCATGATTGCAGAAGAGTGGAGATTGTCAGGTGTTAATAATGTCGACCCATCATGTTGAGTCCCAGAGCAGCAATCTGACGACTCTGAGAGCCCCTGGTCAACGTCTCCCGCGGACTCTGAGAGCTCCTGGTCAACGTCTCCCGCGGACTCTGAGAGCTCCTGGTCAACGTCTCCCGCGGACTCTGAGAGCTTTGGATCGGTGTCTCCTGGAGACTCCGAGGGCTTCTGGTCAGCATCTCCTCCGGTCTGCTCTGAATGGTGCAGCCTGGTCTGGGATCTGGTTTGGGATCGGGTTTGTCGGACGGGAACACCGGAGGAGGGACTCGTTCCCTTTTTTGCATTTTTCCCTCGCGCCCTCGGACCCGGAGCGGATTCGGCTTTGGGGGATGGGGGCGTTTCTTGGAGCGGTTCCGGAAATGTCCACAGAGGGGGGTTTTCATCATCTGGTTTGGGCTCACAAGTTTTGAGCTGCCGCCGAGTTTGCGCCGGCGCGCTTTCCGGATGCTCTTCCTGTGCACTTTCAACAAGCGAACTGTTGAAGAGAACTCCCGCGGGTGCTCGCTCGGGGCCGGTCCGCAAAGAGCAAATTGATTCGATGCGGAGCTCTGACCCGGACTGCGGTGGGGCGCTCGGCGCCAGTCCAGGATCGGGCTGCGGCGATGGCTTTGAAGGTCGGGCTGCGGCGCGCGGTACCGTTTGAGTGACAAACGGACTTTTGAGGGTCACACTTTTGTCCGCTGCGCTCGACTTGATCAAGGATAACGGCCCCGTCTTGTCCTTGGAGCTGTAGAAGATGCCAAATAAATCCTGGGCTTTAGCAGCGGCCAGGTTACTTTTTGGTTTGTCGGCCCTCTGGCCTCCGTCCGGCATGCGGAAGAGCGGGGGAGGTTTCACAAACACGGCGTGAGTCTGCTCGCTCTCCGGAACGCCGGGAGCCGCCACATCCGGCTCCGCGTCGGCCATTTCCGTTTCGACGACGGACCGGACAGGCGGCGACACTTCGGGTGCCGGGTTAATCTCAAGCCCCGATGGCGCCGGAGCGGTCGGGATAAGCGCCGGCCTCGACGGCGGGGCGGGGGGGTTCACCTCGAGCCTCGACGGCGGCGGAGTTGCGCTCCGAACCGACGAGGCGGCACTCGACGCAGGTAAAGTCGATCCGGCCCCCGATGGGCCGGAGCGGACCGTCGGCCCAACCACGGTCGCGGCGGGACTTGACCGAGGCGGGGCCGGTCTAACGACTCCCGGGGTCGGCGTCGACGCGGGTAAAGACGGTTTGGGCCCCGATGGGACAGAACGGAAGACGGGGGGAGCCGGTCTGACAAATGCAAGGGGAGGACTTGACACCGGCACTGCCGCTTTGGGGACCGACGGGGGAGGACCGGACAAGTGTGGAACGGACTGAGACGCGGGTCGGGCGGGCCGGTTCTCGGACTCGCAAGACGCTGGCTTCGTTTTGTCCCGCTCGGTTTCCGGGAGTCTCTCGAGAGGAGGAAAAATGGGTCCGTCTTCCGCCGGCGGCCGACCCGGGCCCAGAGGGCCGACGAAGGGGACGGCGTTCAGAGGCGCGGGTTTCCCCCCGGCGCGGTTCCTCCCGCGTGCCGCGACAGGGACGGCAAAGTCGCTCTGCGCCGGCGACGGGCCGGCGCCGCTCGACACCCGCGGCGCGGACGAGCCGCCCGCACCGGACAATTTCTGAGCGATCTCTTTAGCAAAGGCCACGGACTTTGCAAAGGAGTCGTCCTTGGGGACGATCGCCTCTTTGGCGGCTCGCTCGTCATCCTTGATGAACTCGGCGGCGGCCTTCTGGGCATCTTTGGCCAGCTGATTCTCCCGTTTCCTCCAGGCGAACTTTCCGAAGGTCGGCGCCAGCTTGGCGGCGTCCGGGCTCTGTTTGAGGAGCTTGGCTCTCATGGCCGGACTGGGTCCGCAGATGATTTTGGTCGGGTCGTAGGGCTTGAGCGCACCCGGCGCGTTCTTGTCTTTGCCTCCGTCTTTGTCTTCTCGTTCGCGCTCGCGTTTGTGTCGGTCGTCGTGTCGCGGCCGGCGCTCGTACGGCTCCTCTTCGTGCCTGTGGTGCCGATAATGACGTCCTCCTTGGCTTTGTTTGTGTCGCTCTTCCTCGTCTCTCCTCCGATCGGCCCTCTCGCCTTCCTCCGCGCTCCAATGGTACTTGTCGCTTTTCTTCTTGGATTTCACCTTATCGTCGTCGTCCTCTTCCTTCCTGGCATAAAAGGGAGTCTTGGTATTTTGAAGCTCATCTTCTTTCTTCGGCACTTTCGGCTTCTCTTCCTCCTCGACGGCGATTGATGAGGCGTCCTCTGTGCCAAACTCCTTTTCACCTTTTCTCTCCTTTTTGCTTTTGGTTTTGTCACCCTTGTCTTCTTCCGGTTTACGTTTTTTCCCCGTCAGCCCGGCTTGGCGGTCCAGATTCCTTCTCTGCTCATAGAGCGGATTCTTGTACATTCTTTTCTGGAAAAGTGAGAGGGAGGAGAGTGAGAGGGAGAAAAAAAACGGGAGAGATGTCTCGCACCTCTCGCCGAGACGGTGGAATATTTGGAATTCCGATGTTATTCATTCGACGCACGCGAGAAAGGAATTGTGACAACGAGAGAGACTCGAGGTCCCGCTACGACTCCGGTTTGGTTTCTGGCGCTTGCGCGGCGCTTTGGAAACCGTGTGGCGAGAAAGGACGAAAGACACGCCGACGCCGCTTTCCGCTTTAAGCTAACTCGCCAAGTCATTCCCTCGCTAATCTCTGCGACCGAACGAGCGCCACGCCGCGGCAGGCGACGACCGGCGTCCGATACCTTGTAGTTGTCGTTGTGGCAATGAGTGGTGACGTGCTCCTCTGCGCAGATTGCGTCTCCAAAGAACTTTTCACACAGCACGCAGAAAAATCCTCGCACCGGAAGTAAGAACTCTGAGCCTGCAACACACGCCACGCATTTTCAATCCACGAGAACGCGCGAGGTGGCGCGTCCGTGACAGCTTTCACACGAGTGGCAAACAAAAGCGGCGCCCTGCCGGCGACCGGGCGCCATTTGGAGAGAGCGAGACCTTTCGCCCGCAAACGAGAGAGGAAATGCGAGGTTTCCATCTCCCGGTCGTTAAGACCGCTAAATGTGAACCACAAGACGGCCCAAATCGACACGGCTGCGCGAGAGGCCAAAGGACAAACTTCCAGTACCTTTGGCCGGTTTCATTTGCTTGTCTTCCGTCGGCGCTTTTTTCCCCATTTGGGTTGGCAAGGCGGCCCACGGACGCTCGTAAGGGTCCAGAGTCTGGAAGGGACCGGGAGACATCATCAGCAAACACCTCCTAACTGGCCAAAAGGAGCGAGTCGATTCGCAAGATGCTGCGGGCACGCAGAGATGCAAAGTGCCGTCGCCACCAGCAAACGCAACAACGTGAAGCGGAGCGTAAAACGACACCCTGAAAATTGGACCCAACCGACGACATCCGGAGATCTGACAGAAAGAATGAGCGTCTGACATCTGGCTGAGTTCACCGTGTCGCGACACACGACGGGAGGAAAAAAAAAAAACGAAAAAAAAAAGATGACAAACCTTTTGGTGGATTTTGCCGTGCAAGTGGTTAAAAAAATCAAACATGGAGCCCGAGGTGAGGTTACAGCTTTTGCACCAATGGTTTCCAGCGTCATAGTATTCAAAGGGCTCCGGGAGGGGACTCGCTTCCGAGATGTTCTGCTAAGAAAAAAAGATGGGGGGGAGGGGGGGCGGTTAACCGGGAGCATTGATGAGACCAGAGCAAGTTTGATGACAAAGTTTAGGTTGCTTACCCATGTCAAGGTTTTTTTTCCTTCTTTTCCATCGCGAAATAAAAAAATCTTTTCCTTACTCCGAGTTTTAGTTCAGTGGCGCCGTGACAAAATCAACGGGCCGCCGGAAGAACGGTCTCCACTCTGGCCACTCCAGGAGCAGAGCGCTACCACGACACGGGACAAGACAACGAAGTCGGCGTGCTAACCACCGGCAAAGTGTCGCAGAGCCACTCTTCGGATGGGTCGCGGGCGGCCTTTTCTTTGCCCGCATGATGAAAGCTTGTGAGCGCGTTGGATGCGCTTCACATTTTTGGCCTTTCACCTTCGCAGTGCAACTTAACTTTAGGGCAGCAGAAAGCAGCGGGTGGGCAGCGGGCTCTTTAACACTCGCCACTTGGTTTCCTCAGGATGTGCTTTGAGCAAAACGACTCGCAAACCAAGAGGGCGCCTTTGGCAAAATCAACTAACAGCAGCACGCAGTCGAGCCCTGAATGCTCCTGCTTCAGCATTTGCAAACTTTGGCTGATTTTTGTGGGGGTGTGCGGGGGGGAAACTCTCTTGCGTTATTTGCTGCCAAACCTACCCATTTGTTTTTTGACCGAGTCCAAGGTAGCAACACTTTGGCGTTGATGCCAAGGAACCGTGTTGGGGGGCTTCATTTCGAGAGGGAGGGAGGGTGGGAGCTGCGCTTTCGCTGCCATCACGTGGCATCAACAGGCAATGGTAAGCCTCGTTTCGTTCAGGCAGGGTCGGGTGCCGCTACTCGGACAAAGCGAAGCCTCAGAAGGGACGGACGGAGCTTTCTCCAGCGCCGCTCCCTCTCTTTGGAACAACCTCCTGCCGCGCGCGAGGCAAGCCCCCCTCTCATCTTCAAACACATTTTTATTCTTTGGCTTTTCTACTCGGTCATTGTTTTCTTCTTTCATTGTGTTTACGCTCGATGAATTTGTCCCATTTTTTTGGACTCGGTGTCCAGCACTTTGTACGCGCGGACGGTCGTTTTTGAAGCGCTCCCAGCCGAGCGCAAACATTTTTTGTTGGTTTGTTTGTACCTTTGGGGACACGCCGCCGCCATCGTCGCGCTCTTGTTGGCCCTCCTGACTGTGCTCCGCGCACAGCCTGCTTTTGCCAGGCCTGTTCACCGCGTGATCCGCCCGCGCGGCTTGGGGCGTCGGGCGGGGGCGGTCGGAGGGTCCGAGCCCCAGGATGAGCGCCACCTTATCGATCTCGCTGCGCTTCTTCTCAGCGCCCTCGTGCTCCCTGCGCAGGTTGGAGATCTGCATCATGATGTCCTCCTGCAGGAGGCTGATCTCCTGCAGGAGCGGGTCTTTATGCCCGTCCTTCTCGCGACGTTTCTTCCTCAGCAGCTCGCCTGAGAGCACAAAAAACAAGGCCGCCTCAGCGTGGTGAAAGTCAGCCGTGGAGGACAGGGTTGTCGCTATCGCCTGCGGTGGCCATGGTGAAATTTGGGCCACGTCCCAAATGGCTGATCCCCAGGCGGCCCCGTGACTTGCTTTTTCTTTTCTTTTCTTTTTTAACTCCAACTCAGCCGTCTTTGAACAAAATCAGACAAGCGTTCAACGATAACATCCCACTTGAAGTCGCTATTTTCCTGTATATTGGATTGGATACGTGAAGAAATGAACCGGAATCATTCTGACATGTGGGGCGGCTGTGGGTCAGGAGGTCGAGCGGGTCGTCCGCTACCGGGGCTGGCTGCTCAAACCCCACCGTGTCCGAGTCGCGCGCCGTCACGTCTTTGGGCGAAACGCTCTGATCCCAAATACGGTCGCTCATGGTCAATGGGACAAACGCGACACGGTGGGACGCCGCTGCGCACCGGGGGCCCGGCGGGCGGCAACGGTCGCTCGGCGGCACGGCCTTCCCCGCCGGGAGCCGCCTAACCCCAAACGAACACGCGCCGGGGGCGCGCAACAATATGCGCTTCAAACTAAACGGGAAGTGCGCGCAAGCAGCAAGCCGGCGAGTGGCCGAGACAACTCGCGGGAGATCAAACGGGGGCGGGGGGCTTCCTGCGCCGCCTCACTCGAGGTCCGACCCCTCGGCCCGGTGCCACGCCGGTCCAAATCGCTTCGGTCGACCAGGAAAATGGGCCAACGTTGAGCCAACGGCATTCAAGTTCAAAGTAGCCCTTTGAGAAATTCAGAGGAAATTCATAAAGGGCGTCATAAACGGTCAAAAGTTCAGGAAATTAAAAAACAGTGAAGTTGAAATGATTGAATTCCCCAAATAACTGCTTAGCTCCCTCGTTTGAACCGTGCAAACGTTTTTGTATTTCGTTTCTTTGCTGAAGGAATCGAAAGTGAGAATCGTTGGGAAGCTGACTCCGTGCCCGACCTCGGTCATGACAGATGCGCCGGTCCCGTCATATGCGGCCGGGAGCAACGAGTGAAGCGGCTGAACGAGGCGACCGCTACCGTGGGACATTCTCGCGAATGACGGGGGAGGGGATAACGGCCCTTGCGCTGGCGAATGCCACATGCTCGCCCAACAAATTGTCAATCGTCGAATATTGCCGCACACGCTGCATTTCAGAAAGGGGGGGGGGGGGGGGCGCGTTTGCCACCCGCCCCCAAAAATGCAAGAAAAGGAGGAGGAAGACGAGTAGTCGTGGCAACTCATACGACCATCCAACACGTCTGCGTTTATCGAGCGCTTTGGCAACGGGTGCGGTCATTCGCGGTGGAGGTTCCAGTCCAGGCCAAAGTTGGCAAAAGCGGACAGACGGCGGCGCGCGCTACCTTGCTGCTTCCGGAGCCGCTCCAGTTCCTTCATGAGGTACTCCTTCTTCTTCATGCGCTGCTCTCGCTCCTGTCTCAAGTTCTCCCGCTCCTCCAGAACCTGAACACAGCGCCATGGGCTTCGAGGTCACCGGGAAGCCTCTTCGCCACGACAAGCGGAATGAGCAGCGCTGACCTTCTGCTTCTGGCTTTCGTTGTTCTCCTGCTCCGACACCTGACTCGGGCCCGTCCCGGCGACCCAAGGAGACGCGACGACACCTGAACGACAAAGCGAGGTCACCGCTTCAAAGGTCACGGGCCGAGCTCGGCCTACAATATTTGACCCCGGATGAAATCACATCTCTCTGCAAAAATTTTGAATCGATGCCCAAATCCCCCAACCACACACGCAACCTTGTCCCTTCGCTTCTAGAAGCAAAAGCAATCGACAGTATCACTCTTTGCCTTTTTTCCCCGTTGGATTTTCTTTTCTTCCAATCAGACGGATGACGAGTCGGCCCTCAGATCAGCGACTGACCTTTGACCGGAGGCTCCGGCAACCGCTGGGAGTCGGGCTGGTGGTACGGCAGAGCGGGCGGAAAGCTGTTGGCACCGGGCGCCTGCAAGCTAGGGGGCGGGTACATGGGCGGCGGCCACTGCGGGTGCGCGTAAGGCAAAAAGTTGCCGTACTGACCGCAGCCCGGCAGCGGGTAGCCGGGCGCCATCGCGCCGGACGCAGGAGAGGCTCGGTAGGAGGGGGGGACGGGCACGGCCGAAGGGACGGGCGCCGCGCCGTCAAGCGACACCGTTTGCTCCGGCGCCTCGTCGGGAGCCGCGCCGACACCGCGGCCGCCGTCTTTGCTCCAGCCGTCCGATCGTTTGACGTCCGCGTTCCGGCCATGGGCCCGCCCGACGCCGGGGCCCGGTTTGTCACCGTCGTCGTCGTCCGAGCTGCGGCTGAGGCTGCGCCTGCCGCGGCCGTCGCCCGAGCTCTCGGACGAGTAACGCGGGCGTCGCTTTGCCGTCTTGGGAGCTTTTGCGGGTTTATTCCCATGCAGGCGCTCCTTGGTCCTGGCGGTCAGTTTGCTGAGCTCCGCCACACCCAGGTCCAAGCCGATGGTCTTCAACAGGTCCTGGAGCTTCTGGTAGTCTTCCTGCGCCTGCCGGTGGTTCTCCTCTTCCGGCGGCAGTCCGGGAATCGACGCCTGCGCGGCGGTGTGGGAAGCGGCGGTGGAAACCGAGGGGGGCCGGTCCGTAAAGGCCTCGCCGGTGGCTACGGGCGAGACCGCTGGAAGGACGGCGGCCCGGGGCAAGTCTCCGTAGAGAACGTCCTCCGTGACATCCCCGTACGGATCAAAAGCGTGGTTGTGGAGCGGCCGCGGCGGGACGACTAGCTCGGGGTCCTCCGAGTCTCCGTACAGGAACTTCTCCTCGTCGTCCATGTCGTCCGCCGGACTCTTCGCTCCTTGGGCCGCGACCGGGTCCAGCAAATTGAGGATCTCCTCGATTTCCGGGTCGCGATCGGCCCGCTGCGACATCTGCGGGTCGGACCGCAGCTCGCTCAACACGGACGCCATGGCGGCCGGCTCCATCCCTTTGACGGCCCGCAGCAGCTCCTGCGCCACGTGAGACAGGGCCGAGTCGGAACCCTGAAGGACACAGAGGCACGCGGAAGGTCACCTCGGGGACAAGGGTGGCCCGAGCCGGCCGCACTCTTGAGCCGTCGAGCTCCACGAGAACGAGCGGCAATGGATTTCACTCGGCGACTGACCCGAGGTCACAAAAACAAAAAGCCACCTCTGGCAAGCTTATCCGGAAACCTCTTTCTCAAGCGCCTCTGCAGCTGCGAGCGTCAGTCCGACGACTCCAAAAAACTCTCCCGTCCGAGCGGGCGGCCTCAACGAATTTCAATGAATTGCGATTTGTAAACGATTCCAGATGTTCCCGCTCACTATCGCGGCGAGCTTATTTGGAGGCGTGCTTTCGGACGCCGCGTCCGGGTGAAGGCGGGCAAGATCACGCCGCTCACGATCCAACACGCTTATCTTGAAATAGAGCGCCCAAGTCGACTGCAATGAACATAAACGCAATCAAAACAGGAAGCGCTCCCATTTTCAGGCCTCTTACTTTGAGTACATTTAGATGCAAGCGTATTTCAACGGGAGTACATTTGATGTCACGTCGTTTGAAGATTTTGACCGCAAGGCGACTGACTAACTTCAAGCCAATTTGGCTCGCGTCACGGTGACTCGTACTCGGAGGGACGGCGGGCAAACGCACCCTGACCGTAGGCGAGCAGTTGTAATCGGAGCGTTTCTTGAGGATGGACTTGGTGGGCAGAGACAACAAGTCCTCCAGCTCCTTCCTCCGACGAGCCACTTCCAGTTCGCCGAACATTTTCATGCGGCGGTGGCGCTCGCCGCTGCTGCTGCTGTTGCTGGAGCTGCTGCGCCTCCTGCTTGGCGCTCTACTGGACGCCCGCCCTCGAATCCGCCCCCTGGACCTGGACCTGGACCTGGACCTGGACCTGGACCTGGACCCGGACCCGGACTTACTGCGACTCCGGCTGCAATGACGGCTCTTGCTTCTCGCCCGACTTCTGCTGCGGCCGCGACGATTGTCCGTGCTTCGGTCTCTGTGGCGACACACACAGCCAACATTGACGCCGTGCATTCCCGCAGTTACCGAGCAGACCGAGGAGCGACGGGACAAGTGTCTGCCATCTTGGTGGAATTTCCTTAAAATCAGGAAATGAGCACTTGAAATGCCTTCCAAATCCTCCCGAAGAGGCACGTCCGGCCTGTTTTCCCATCTCTCCCCGCCGCAGCGCGCCTGATCCAAATGATCAGCTCATCAGCGAGCTCTGCAGCGGCCTGATCATTTGAATCGGGCGGGTTGTGGCAGGGAGAGCTGGAAAGCGTGCAGAATCATTGGCCCTCGGGGACCAGAGCTTGACACATGTGCTCCAAAACAAAAACAAGAAAGACTGATGGAGTTATTCTCCCGTTCCTGTGTTGCTCCATTTGGTAGACATGCACTCCAAATACCAGACAGATAACTAGTGAAGCCATATTGTGACAACATTTCACATCCATACATCTGATAGCAACAAAACTGGACAGCTAACAAAAGCGGCCTCGCATATACCAACACTAGTCTGGTTACTGCCACTTGAATAGAGTCACGAGCGAAGCCTCTGCAACACGACGTACCAGGTAAACAAGGCGTGGCCAGTGACGCTTTTTTTTGGGGGGGGGGGTCTTAACTAATGAATAACAACAACAGCAGCATTACTAAAGGTCATTTGAGCAAATGTGTTATTTCAGAAGTGCGCATCAACCCGGCAGCCCTTTGCACAAATCAAAATGTCGTCATCAGCTTCAAAAAGGTTGGCAAGCCCCGATCTCGGCTTGGAATGAACGTGGACTCGCTTGGCACATGCAAGCGAGGCTGTGCTGAGCATCTGTCCTTTCGGAATGGACCGATTGATTGCGCCATGCGTTCCTTCACTCGCTCCTGACTCCCCCGTCGTTGGAGGGATTTCGAATGGGAACTACCAAGGTGGCCATTCGTGCCTGACCCGCCTGCCATTTATGAAAAGTGTTCCCACGCCGCTACAGTGAGCGAACAAGAAGTTTTGACCTGCTGTGCTGACGCGGAGTTGCGGAGCTGGTCAACTCGTTGCCCACCGTGATGACGAGTTTGTGGTCGATGGGAAGACGATGGCGAGGAGAGGGCGATCTCTGAAAACAAACAAACAAACAAACAAGCGCTGCTCTCACATCCGGCAATTTCAAGATTACTTTGATGTCCCGGCCCCCCCACGCCACCAAGCACAAATCCGGAACGAGCCACTCATGCGCAAAAGGCCGAAAGTCGCGCGTGTGCGCGTTCGGACGGTCTGACCTCCCGGGGCGGAGCACCGGAACGGTGCTGGTCGCCTCGGTGTCCTGCCGAGGCGGGAGGATAGTAGCTGCGGTGCGGCGGGGAGTGATGGTAGTCGGGGTGTTCGCGGCGGTGATAACCCGAGTGGTACGGTGATCTGGCCCGGTTCCTGTCGTCCGCTCTTTGGTGATGGTACGGCCGCGGCGGCGGCGGCGGGCCGCGGCTATCGAAAGGCGGCCGGTAAGAGCCCCGCGGCGGAGGCCGACCGCGGAACATGTTTCGCCGAGACCGAACAACGATCGAGCTGAAAGCGACAGACGGTGCCGGTTCTCGCGCGCGGCGTTGTATCGAACAGGAACACGGCCGGGAGCTAAAGCTAAAAAGCTAAAGCTGAAGCCCAAGCTGCGTTTGCGCGGCGGCTGCTTGGCTCCTTCTTCTTTTTCCGTTCGAATGGAGGTTGGCCCCAGCATTGAGGTGCATTACCGCCACCTAGAGGACGTCATAGGAATTAAAGCGAGGCTGCGCGACTCCTCGTCCAGGAGCAAATCAGAGAAAGAAAAAAAAAGCCATTTTCATGACTTCACTTACCTGAGTGATTCTCCCGGTTTTTAAATAAAAGTAGAGCACACGCTAGAGGTGCGCAGTAAAGACCTGTACTCAATACAGGTATGAATTTAAATAACAGGTAGAGCCATTTATTGCTTAACTGTACTGTGTCCTTTAGTTTTTAACTTGACGAGAAATTGTCAAGTTAAAAAATATGCACAAAAAAAATCACTGATGAATTCAACTTGATATTTTAACCACAGATATATGTAAACAACATCATGAGCGAAGTCATTTGGAAAAGATTATTGATGCAGCTATCTGCTACCCTTCATTATTTATTTCCTTTGCTATGAAGTCACGACAAAGTCATGTTCGCTCTTTGATGATTCGCCGGCTCACGGTGGCTGCCATGTTTGTGATGAACCTCATTTTTAGCTCAACTCTGATTGGACGGCGTACCGTCACGGACCACCACTGACGAGCGTGAAGTTGTCCCAGTGGCTGCAAACTGTCGCTATTCGTCTAATTCCACAAGAAGTGCAGACGGACTCGTGGTGAACTCTGGACGAATGTAGCGCAAAATCCGCTCGCCCCGTCCGCCCCACGACCTGAAGTCAATTAACTGAATTGATACAACTTTATTGTCAAATACAGCACAGATGAAATTTCTTCCCTCTCAACATAAAACAAGAGGAGCCGCTGCGGGTGTCCGCGCCGCCGTCAAAAGAAAAGTGACCAAATAATACAAGACAACACATGAGACGCAGAGAATCGTGCAGCGAATCAAAGTGTCCTTTTCACCAGTGGATCAAAGACGTCATGCTGCAATGTGCACACGTCTGCTACAAACTAAGCTTGAAGTCCAGGTTGTAGTGTGGTTTTTTTTTTTGAAAATTGTGCACACAAGTGAGAGCAACGACTTGCATCTGCGGGGTTGCCAATTTTGTGACGCCTTTGCTCTATTTGGAAACCTTTCCCAGCATTCCAGCTGTCTTGGGAACCGTAAATAAACAGACAACACTGAGACGGCTCCGTGTCCGAGGGCTCGAGGCCATTTATTGTCCAACTCAAAAAACAGTTGCCCCACCCGGGTCACAAAAGAGTGCTCAGGTTTCGCACGTTTGAGTCACTCTCCTAACATCCCCCTTTCTGCGTACATTATGAGCTCTGTCAATTCCAAATGTATTAATGTACAACGCAGAAACAAATCTAATCGTGTAATTATAGGTCTCACGCTGTAATAATTGGAGTTAAAAAAAACAATTCACTGATGAATTCAACTTGATATTTTAGCCACACATCTATGTAAGCAACATCATGAGTGGAGTTATTAGCAAAAGATGATGAATGCAGCCATCTGCTGACCTTCAACATTAACTCGCATTTACTCCACTCCATCATTCTTTCCTTTGTTCCTAAGTCATGCAAAACCCGACGCCTTTCTCAGATGTGGAAAAAAAAAAAAAAAACCCTTTGGGAGAGTTACAATTGAAATATATGATGGCCAGCGACACGTGACGACAGACAGAGTTGTTACAGCCCGCGTCAGATTTTCATTTCTGACAAAGAAATCTATCGATGAAGCATTTCACGAAAACCAAGACTGCCATTTGGTGCTTGACGGGAGCAATACAGCGCAACAAAAAGTATAGGGCGTACTAAATGAAACCGTGTCATTTTAAACCGAGCAAATCCTTGAAATCGCTTACCGTTCGCCAAGAGAAGCACGGCACGACCGTGCGGCCAGGCAACATCCCTCCACGGAGATACGATGTTCTAGATCTCTCCCACGGACCTTCACGGTGAGCGTTTGCGTCGAAGCCAACGGGAGAGCGGTTCACTCACCTGACGCGGGTTCGGATGCGAGGGCCGCTTAAAACGGGTCCGTGCCTTCGCGCCGCCGCTTCACGTTTGTCTCGACAAATGACGTCGATCGCAAAGAAGCGCAAACTTATCAGCGGCGCCGCTCAAACCACATTTATTAAAACAAACAAAAGAAGATGGGGAGTAAGGGCTGCGTTTGTCAGCACGCCGCGTTACTGCGGGGCGGCGGCGGCGGCGGCGACTTCTTCGGCCCACTTCTCCAGAAAGTCGCGCAGGTTCCCGTTGAACACGTCCATCCCTTTGGGTGACAAATGGACTCCGTCGGCTTGGTAGAGGCCCGTGTTGGTCCCGCAGCGGATGTTGTCGTGGGTCAGAGAGACGCCACCCAGCTCGGAGAAAATGTTGCGGATTCGCCGATTGACCGTGCTTCGGACCAGATCCACTTCGTGGGCGTCCGGCGAGTGGCGCCACGCCCGGCGGGGGAGGATGTGGGACCAAACCAGGACGCAGTGGGGGAAGGCGGTCCTCAGGGAAGCCACGTCTTTCCTGACCGACGCCAGCAGGTCGCTGGGCGTTTCGGTGTTCAAGTCGTTGCCGCCCAGGTGGATGACGAGCGCGTGGGGGTGGGGCCAGCTGACCTTGAGCTGCTGGAGCAGGGGCAGCAGCTGGGGCCAGGTCATGCCCTGGACCCCCTTCCACCGCAGGATCAGCTTGTCGGGGTCCATGCCCAGCTGGGCGCCGACCTCCGCAGACTTGGCCCGCGACTCTGCCCAGTACACCAGCGAATGGCCGCAAATCCAAACGTTGCGGGGCCCGCCGCCGCCGCCGCCGAGTGGCTTTCCTGCGGACATGAGGAGAAACCGACAAGCTGCTTCACAAGTTCCTCTTGGCGGATGGCATTCGCATCCGAGGTTCGCTAGCTAGCGTCCGCGGCTCATCGTGCGTAAAGTCAAAGATTGAAAAACGACAAGAATTGCTCGCTTACCTTGGCCGATTGCATTCATTGCGCAGCAAATGAGCAAAAGCTCCAACAATCAGACCGGCGATTCCCAACCACTGTGCCATGAGCGAAGGTCCGAAGGCGCGCCGCAGTAAACGATTCGATTCACCTGATCGATCCCACTTTACCAAATCTCTCCTTCCCGCATTGTTATTTTCCACGTGGTCAATACGTGACATGCCGCATTCGTGACGGCACTCCCCAGACGGGAATGTTCAAAGTCCCAGAATGCTTCAATTCAAGCTGTTCAGTCTTGTAGAGCGTACGGTTGTTTGCTATGTGTCTATCTGGCAAGTGAAGGTAGGAGAGGAGGGGGGGGGGGGGATTCCTCCTGTATTTTATCATTTGTTCATATTAGTTTTGCCCCAGCGTACACCTGTGAAGAAAGACAGTGAGTGAAAATAATCGGTTCTCGCGATGCTATTCAAGAGTTCACGGCACTACCAATTGGCTGTGAATCAAATGCGTCAGTTCCAGCGAGATCCCGGTCAGCTACTTGCCAACCTTGAGAATTTGCACGCAGTAACCAATCGTGACCGCAAAGAAACCGCAATCAAACAACGTCACCGAGAGAACGCGCGCATTCGATGAGCCGTATTGGACAAGTGAGGCACGCGTTACAAGCCATGACGGTTTTCTCACGTCAAAGTTGGCTCAGTAAAGGTTGGGAATCACGGGATCGTCGTCGTTCATGAGCTTAGCTTCCGCAGCCTTTCAAAACGTCTTACGAGCAGATGTCGGCCACGAACGGAAATGAAGTTGTGTCATCGGACTTGCGTTCTTGGTGCACGGCGGACTCCCGTTCGGTGGACCGGAAGCGACTGATTGCAAAGTAGCACGTTGTATGGGCTAGCTAGCAAGAAGATGCTCATGCGGGCTCATTCCAAGAGGAGGGGCTAACGTGTCGGCAGGCTTACTGTCAAACATTCCGACATCTCTAGCTATGGTGGCTAGCTCGGTCCCGGAGTCCGCATCCCTAAAGCGCTAACTGCTGTTAATAAGCTAAACATTCTGCTCTATTGTGTACGTTTGATTGCTTAGCGCCACGCAGATGTGATGTTTCAGCAACGTATAGAACCACTTGGAGGAAATGGCTCAAAACCCGTTGGACACGACGTCGCTACTTTTAGCTGGGAAGCCTTAACGTAACGGTGCGATCAATCGCCCGCTGTCAAAAGTTGAAAATGTCAGAATAACAAAAGGTGTCGACTTTACTTACCCTGACTGTCAACCGAGACTTACCACAGACGAAAAAAAAAAAAAACAGCCTTTGACAACCAACTACAGCTAACATCTTGTCTCAACGTGCACGGTGGTCTGTCCCAAGTGACGTCTTGATGCGGAACGGTTTTCGTGCGCCAAAAGCTTTCGGAACGTGAACGTCAGCGGCTCTGGTCAAACTCCAGGATTTGCGTAGTCGCACTTGACATTGGCCGGATCTCCAGAGCTAACGTCTGTGCTTTAGATTCTACGGCAACGCAGCTGGAACCACATTCCTGCCGAGCGAGCTGAGATGCTAACGGCCGGCCGGGCACATTCATTCTTGAAACTGTGACTAAGCGTGGACTAAAATAACAGTGAGTCAACTTTAGCAGAGAGAAAAACATTTTGCGCATTCTAACACGTCGCGCTCCCCAAGTCACTTCAAGCTTTAACGTAACGGTGCGATCAATCGCCCGCTGTCAAAAGTTGAAAATGTCAGAATAACAAAAGGTGTCGACTTTACTTACCCTGACTGTCAACCGAGACTTACCACAGACGAAAAAAAAAAAAACAGCCTTTGACAACCAACTACAGCTAACATCTTGTCTCAACGTGCACGGTGGTCTGTCCCAAGTGACGTCTTGATGCGGAACGGTTTTCGTGCGCCAAAAGCTTTCGGAACGTGAACGTCAGCGGCTCTGGTCAAACTCCAGGATTTGCGTAGTCGCACTTGACATTGGCCGGATCTCCAGAGCTAACGTCTGTGCTTTAGATTCTACGGCAACGCAGCTGGAACCACATTCCTGCCGAGCGAGCTGAGATGCTAACGGCCGGCCGGGCACATTCATTCTTGAAACTGTGACTAAGCGTGGACTAAAATAACAGTGAGTCAACTTTAGCAGAGAGAAAAACATTTTGCGCATTCTAACACGTCGCGCTCCCCAAGTCACTTCAAGCTATGTCCCGGAAAGCCGTTTTGTAGCAAACCACCAGTGCTCGTGGTGCTTCGTCGTTCAAAACGCACACGCACATACAAAAGGAGAGTTTAGCATGAAGACGCTTGCTAGTCAAAGTTCCTGCACATGAAGATCCAGCAGACTGTGACAAAAAAAAAAAAAAACTACGTTGGACTCACCTGGAAAGCAGGACCCTGTTTGGAAGCAATAAGGGACATGTCTAGCTAGCTAGCTACCCGAGCCACCACTTAAGCTATGATATGACGTCGGAAACATCTGCTGGTAGGTGGATCTCCACCAATACATGCGCGCTAAGTTAAGGGCCCTTTAGTGAGCGCTGCTCCCAGTCGGCAGCGGCGATGTAAAACGAGGTGCTAGCTAAAGCATGTGAACGCAAATATTGGGATCGCCCCAATAGCCGCAATTCCACTCTGGTTCCCCCGTAATCGCGCGTTCCCGTCGAGCGCGCGAGGGTGTTCGGGGTCTTAACTCTCCCAAGTGCTCCGTACCAAAACCTCCTGAGGGTGAGCCGCTCGGATCGTGGCTATCTAGCGATGCAACGGTGCGTTGTGAGGCGGTGGTACGCCGCCGGCCTTGGGGCAAATCAACTTGCTCGTAGCCACTTTTCCCACCGAGTGAGAGAGACAATCTTTGGGGACGAGTGGATGAGTTGTAGCCGCTTCAAATGACGTGCCGACATCTTGAAATTCAAGGCGAAACGCCTTCAACGACCAACAAGAAAGAGTCCGGTCGCCCCCACTCAACTTTGGCAGAGAACCGTGTCGCGGATGACCGGCACGACTGCGTGAGCTTAGCTCTTTCTTGCACGGTGGAAGCATGTTGGTGAAACCTGCCATACGGGCAGAGTTCCTCTGCACCGCGAGCGATACCAACGCCCGCGCACAAATAGAGGAGCGAGGAAACGTTTTGAGACTCACAATCTGACGGGTCATCATCAGCGCAGCGAAAACGTCTCGGATACCTGGGGCAATGGCGGCGCCGTCGCCTTGTCTTTTGTGCGCTCGAGCGTCCTTGGACCGCTGTCCTTGCGGGTCCGCCATCTTCCGCTTGTACAAATCCAGCTGCAACACAACCAAAGACACGTACGTGGGAAAGCTCCGGCAGGCGACCGCCGCCGCGGACTCTACCTTCTCTGGGCGCCCGCTTTTCACGTCGCCGACTCGCTCCGGAGAGCCGGCGGGACCGGAGGTCATCGCCGGCTCCTGCGGGAAACTGAACTGGACCGATTTGAGCGTTCTCGCCGCCGCCGTGGCAGTCAAAGACTTGACGCTCTCGATGACCTTCAGGCATTTGGCCACCGTCGCGGAGATGTCGGACCGCCCCTCGCCGGCGGTCGCCGACGGCGACGTCCCTCGGACGGGGGGAGAAGCTTTGGGGGAAATCTCCAGGGGCCAGTTGACCGGAGGGGACGGATGGCGGTAGCGTGCGGGCGGAGGCCCGGGAGTCGACGACGTGCTCGCCATGGTCTTGGTAAGATCCTGCAGCTCTCGAGCCTTTTTCAGCATCTCCAACTCTTGTTGATCGAGGAATTCTTCATACTCGCAGACACCTTTCCTCCGAACGGGGGCCTCCGCGTCGCACGATCCGGCGGGGGAGAGGGAAGGCACGGCGTCAGCCTGAAGTCGAAGGGCTTGCTCCCACCCCTCTCTCGCGCCGGACGAGGCCTCGGAGGCACCGTTGGCCAGCCGCGCCACGTCCGCCGCGGTCAGCTTCAGGCCGAGGGTCCGCAACAAAGTCTGGATCTGGCCGTAAGAGGCGGTCTTGCTCTCCGCCGAAGGCGATTCGTTCTCATCCTCCCCGCCGACGCGGCCGCTCGGCGATCCTCCGGCCAGACCGACGATCCGAGAGAAGCCTTTGCCGTCTTCCAGCGCCCGCTCGTGCGGCAGGAGTTCGTCGTTGGCCGGAACCGGAACCGGCTCCGGCGGGGTTTCCGGAATGGCCTTCTTTTGAAGCATATCGAGGAAGCGATCCAGCGGGGGCTTTGGGACCGCGGCCGGCGTCGCGTCCGCGCGGCCCGGCGAGGGGCTTTTGGACGGCGGCGGAGCGGGAGAGGGCGGCCCGAAGGTCGTCGGCAAAGACGAGGGGACGGAGGCCGACGGCGGCGCGCGAGCTTCCGGAGCCCGGTTCTTTGCGTAGGGGCCGCGAGGGGGGCGGTCCGCATACGTCGGCTCGTGGCACGGATCGTCATAGGGCTGGTCGTAAACGTCGTAGCGGTCCGTGTAACGCTGGCCGGCGGCGGAGGAGCTTTCGTACGTCACGAGATCGTACGGCCGGCCGGCGAAGGCGCGAGCGTAGCTGTCAGAATAGCGCTCGCCCGAGCGCGGCCCGTCGTAGTAAGGATCGTCGTACGTGGGAGGGAGGCGGCGAGGGTACTCGGGGTCCTCCGGCGGTTTCTTCAAAATGGAACGGACCGGTCTGAAGTCGGCCAAAGGGTTTGCGACGCGGCCGTGGTCGTAGTCGATGCACGTCCGCCGTCCGGGCTCCGGGCCTCGGGGATCCATCAGCGACTTCTTGAAGGCGATCATCTCGTTGAGCTCCTCCAATTCTCGCTTCTTTCTGGCCAGCTCGTCATCCACGGCTCCGCCGCGAGCCCTGGCAGGGGGGCTGCGCTCCCTCCTCCTCTTGTGTCCTCCTCCCTGCTCTCCAGCCACTTTGCTTCTTCTCTTTCCAGATCTTTCTCCGCTCGGGCTCCTGCTGCGACTGCGACTTTTCGTACGTCGGCGGGACCTTTCCCGACTCGCGGTTCGTCTCTGCCGGCCGCTTTTGCGTTGGCGTTCTCGACTGGAGCTGCGCCTCCTTTTGATTTCTCTTCCGAATTTGTCGGTGGGGGGGCTGCGACTGCGACTCCTGCTGTAGGCGCGGCACGGGCCCGCGCTCGGCTTGACCGGGGCCCGCAATTGTTTCACCACCGTCTTCAGCCGGTCCGCGTTTGGCACCTCGCGCCTTTATCGGAAGAGGACATCGTTGCGATTGTTCATCCAAACTTTCAACGCGGAACGAAATGACTTACTTAGAGTCTTCTGAAGCTTTGGCGAGCTTGATGGTCATCTGAGGAGGAAGAAGAAAGCCTTAAGAGCGCTCTTAGGACAAACCTTTTGGAGCGTTGACCCGTTGACTAAGTGCGGCCTTTCCTTGCCCGCAAGCGGCCGCGAGACGCTGGGCTCTTGCGAGCGCCGCGGTGCGTGTGCGCTCGCTGCGATGGCTCAGATGCAGAGGGTCATGTTTCCCGCGCGCCCGACGCCGTCAAAGGCCGCCCCTCGAGGGCCGGCGCGCCGCGCGTTTTGCGCATCTCCCCGCCGCAACGCGCCTGATGCAAACGGTCAGCTCATCGGCGAGCTCCGTCGGAGGCGGGTCGCAGCGGGGAGACGTGGAAAACGTGCAGGACGCCGGCCGCCGCCCGAGGACCGCACTTTGACACCTGTGAAATCGAGGATCTTCATCTTCGTCCGTCATTGCGTCGCGACCGCACTCAAGCCGGCTTGACTTTGCATGACGACGCTGCGCATCGTTTGCGGCGTTTTCATGGTTTGTTCCTCCGATCCCGACACGAGCCATACATGACTCTGCGACTCTTTGTACCGACGTCCTAAAAGTTGCTTTTGTTCTGGTCGCCGTCCGTCATGCGAGTGTGGCTCAAACGAGCGGAAAGCGATTCCCTCTTGTGTTTTTACACGCTTGGCCAATCAACGTGATTCTGAAGCCAGGAGGGCATCACAGCTCCCCAACGGCCAGCGATTTGTATTTTTTTTTCTCCCTACTCCACTCATATTTGTAGCTTCCTCCTCAGTAAATGCGGGTTCGCACAACAAAACAAAGCCCTCAAGCGACGGAGCACATCATCTTTTTGTTTGGTGGCGCCTTGGGCCTAAAATATGGGTGGAAAAACAGCGCTCTACACCCCCCCCTCCCCCGTCAAATACTTGGGCACACCGAGGAGTGAAGAAGGACTTTGAAAATGGAGTCCAAGAGCGCTCACCTTCCCTTTGCCAGCGGCGACGGCGCAGAGTTTTCTGGCCGGCAGGAAAACGTTGTCGGTGCAATGTTTGATCCTGATGGCCTGGTGGCCGCCCGCCGCTTGGTCATGCTGGAACAAGAAGCGCACGTGACCGGAGGCGCGCGCGACCGCCGCCAGAGCCCTCCTCCGACTTACCGGGACCACGCTGAACTCCACCTTCTCGTTCAGCTGCAGCTTCTTTTTTCCAATCACTTCCGACAAGCGGAAGAAGAGCCGAGGGTTCTGCGCGCACTTGATGAGGCCGCGATCCTCGGAGAACTCGATGACGATGCCCTGCAAAGGGGCGCCGGCGCAGGCGTGAAGCGCCGAGCGAGCTCGCCGCCGCCGGAGGAAAACGGCTTCGGGCGTCTTACGTGCCGTCGTTGCTCCGTGGACTCTTCAAAGGTGGCGGAAAGGATTTCCACGAAAGCGGCCCGTTCTTCTTTGGTCTCCCGATGGGTCGCCACGTTGAAGCGCACCTGGAAACGGTGACGTCGGCGCGTGCGCCTCCGTGAGAAGCGGCGGTTGGCGCGCGCGCGGCTTCATCGGCGTCGAGGGAGCTCACCTTGTCGCCGGTCAACATGGTGGCGGCGGAGAGCAGGTCGTCGGGGCCGAAAGGAAGCCGCTTCTGGCGACCGTCGACGGTCATCACCAGAAGCCCCGCCTCCTCGGGGCTGCCTGCGCCGCCTTGAATCTCGTCCGTCTTTCCCTCGCCGTTCGCTTCCTGCTTGGCGTCCGCTTCCTCCTCCTTGACCTTCACGTCCTCCTCCGTCGTCGTCGCCTACGAGACAACATGTCGCCGCCCGTCACCTTTGGGTCGGTGGGTGAGCATCGGCCGTGACAATAACGAGCGTCGGGGCTGGCCAAGACGGCCACAAAAGGCAAGCTCCCGGTTCGGCCCCGCAAAAATCTCCT